CATATTTAGCTGTATTAAGCACAATATATTCTTTATACTTATCTGCCGCGATATCGATCATATTTTTTAGAGAACGTGCAATAAATTACTGGTAGCCATTCCAAACCTCATAACCTCACATTTACAGTACAAACAACTGAGATCCACTGAATCTTGGCTTGGCCTAAAATCTTGATGAGAGGAATTATTTGGAACCTGTTAGATTTTAGAAATGTGCTCTAATTACCTTACACTCGAGCAGTTCTACTTTTCATGTGGCTCCAACTAGTGAAGTCATTGTTATTGGGTTAATTTACTTGGTTATTTATAACACTAGTGATCTTTTTATTCAATCGCTTCCTCAGCAAATCGACTTTTGTCCTGTCATTATATTTAGCCTTTTCCGCAAAATAGTCAAAGTCTACTTTGAAGTCTCCGAAGGTACGCTTTTCTTGGTGTAGTGTATCCAATTTATTTTTTGCTGTCTGGGTGATATCTAGTAGCATATTTGTTACGATGTGAAATCACTCAGCCAATTAGACAAGCTGTATTAGATGATATAGAGATCTATACAAGATGTGGTTGGTGTAATGACATGATAACAGTTGCATGTGGATGGTTTGAACAAGAATGTAAACTATTCTATAGCATATGATAGAATATCTTACATCACAAGATGGAATATTCTACTAGCAATTAGATAGATGAGCTTTAGGTATAAATAGGAGTATTTTCCTCCATATAGATAGCAATCATCAGGAAACGAATCTAATAAAGCGAACACATATCGTCGTCCACTTCATAATAGTGTTAAGCACATATTGATAAAGCCACTGTTTGTATGCAATTCCCCTCCTCATAATCACAATAATAATTCGCCCGTCCAAGACTGTCAACAATTTTTCAGATGTTTTTCATGCCCATTTCAGAGGATTCTCAGGATTCTTATTCATCATCTGGATACCATCTTGCACGGAGTCTCATGCCTTGTGCGTAAGTTGCCTAGTTATATATGATACTTTTTCAAATTCACCAGGGAAGCAAGTTTTATTCACAATGGTATTCTGTTCAACTTGGATCTTCCATTGCTCATAGACATATTGCCTTTTATTCATATAAATTTGATTTCCTACAAGCCTATCATGATTTGCTGTGGCACGGCAAGGTGTTGGACAGATGGCCTGTTTGCTAGAAAAATTGTTGGAGTTAGCAATATTATTTTGAATTTGGGTTTGTAACTTTTGAATTTCTTCATTCTCTGATGATATCTGTGTATGCAACTTGCTTATTCTCACATGCAATGTATTGATATGACTCAGACAGCTTTGTACTTGCTGATTTATTTCTATTGTTTCTCGTGCCGATAAAGTATCCTGGTGAGCGAGACTAAGTCTTTCCCTTAGCTCTCTGAAGTGTCCTTTCATGCCTTTAAAATTGGACTCAAATTCAGACATTGTTGCTGACTGGTGGGAAAGCTGTCAGTTAAGTACGCCAAACTTAAGATCGAAACATTTTGACAAATAGCTGTACATTATTTTTTCAGATTAATCAGTTGGGGCTATTTTTGTCAAGACTGGAGTCGGATTTGATTCAGGTGGGCATGTCTGGTCTCCATTGGCGCTGGCAAGATTCGGCCAACTTTCAAGGAAGGAATCTCAAAGTTTGTTCAAAGTAGACGCGTCCTGGTTGCTGGCCATTTTTAATACAGACTGGATAAATTGATTTGAAGAGTATAGGAGTGCCTCATCGCGTTCGAGAAGGGCCTTTAGAAAGAATTCAACCCTTTTCTGGTTACTGGTATCTAGATCAGGGAAGCAGGATGTGACAAGGCAAGGCGCATATGTTGAAGATGGCACGAAATGTCAGTGATTGTATAATGGGAATAACTGGATCTAGATTTTTCTGGATAAATAACTATGTTGTGCCATGAGAAGACTAAATCTAACTATGTACATTGAAGTCTGAAAGCCCCAAGTTCGCTGAGCCATTCCTGAGACTAAATTCCATAACAATGAGTGTAGTACCTTTTTTTCAAAGAGAATTGGAGAAGGAAATTAGAAGTTTATTAATTTGTAATATTTAACATCGTGCCCTCACACAGCTCGTGAGCTTTTCAAGTACTGGTCGGCCCAATCTAAATTAAACTTCCCGACGTGTTGGCGCCTACACAGACCCAACAAAGCAAATGATAGCCAGGGTCTTGTCATCCTGCGCTCGAAAATTAAAGTATATGTGAAGGTCGTCCGTCCGACGAATCTCATACTATGAAATCAGTATTGTGAAAGGACGGAACATAACCTTCTAGCTCATGTGTACCCAAAATAGAATTTATATTCTATCTGGAGAGAAAGATAGCTCAATAGAATGTTCATCAACATAAAGCTACGCGTCGCGTAAGGCGTGCCATTACATAAGCAATTACAACGCTTGACCACAAATGTGTTAGCGCTTGGCAAGGGACCGGATAAACTCCGGTTCCAGACTACATGGCTACAGCCTGTAACGGGTACTAAGTCAATAAAACATTTTACAAAAAAAAAGGAGAATATTGTTTACATCAAATCGTGATTTCGCTCGAATTAGACTTTTCGTGGTGCCCTTTCGAACAAATTAGTAACACGCACCCAGTTATTGATTGCATTAACTCCCTCCGCCGAAGTAAGAGCCCAATATACGCTGGGATAAGAATTCTGTGCCCTGTGGAGCTGAGCCTGGTATTTGCGGATGTGGCAATAGAAAAAGTGATTGGGGGGCTTCCCTTCTCTGCATGTGCAGGTTAGATGCATAACTCTGGTATATCAAGTTGAGTTGTGTCACAACTGAGGTCACATGATCTATAGTCATACAAGGGTTGACTCCAACTTGTATTCCGAAGTATACTTGCACGACGTTAAATATTATAAATATTCCGTAGTATACTTAGAGATAGATAGGGAGAGAGATATGTTTATTGTACTACTTGAATCATGGAAAATCTAGCATGTTGAGCTCCTCTTAGACCCAGGCCATACCTTGTACAGTGCTCCTTGCCTCTTTTGTTACCCGAAAGATCATTGATACATTGCCTGTGATGAATAGCCATTCAGCTCAGTATTTACCCATGGAACTCGGCCATTTTTCCACGGAACCTTCCATCCAAAAAAAAAAATGGAAGCAATGGAAACTGTGTGCGCAGGAAAAAATCTAAAAAACTTGCAGCCCCCGCCACACAAGGCCTAGACAGCGAATACAACATGAAATTAAAAAAAAAGAGGCCTAGACACCGGGACCACACGAGGTGCGCATACTCATCTACATCTCCCTTCTTTGTAACATCGGAGGCCGACTTGATCCAATTCACCATCTCCGTATCGGGTGCTGAGTACGCTCCGGAAACTCATCGGATGGCATTTCCTCCAGGATTAATGGTGGGTAATGAGTAGATCTTCGACCTTACTGTGACGGCTAGTCAGCTGATAAAGTGAGGCTTCAACTCTCGTATCTAATATCAAATGAGTCCTATAAAGACAGCTTAAAATTGTTACTAGAGGGGAAACTTTTAATGGAATAAAATGTTTCTTGTCCATTCTCCTTCCTCTAACTACAAGTGCTATGTCTAAGTATGTGCGGGGGACTATTCTCAACACCTGTCAGTGGTGTCCCCTACGAACCTCCAGATCTCACTGTAGAGTCTGCAGAGCCGAGATTGAATAATAAAATCCTCACCTCGACGAGGATTCCCAATCGCTTTCGCCGTCTGTATCGTCTTCATCTCTCAACAAATTCCCCTATCACCATTATCATAAAGCTAACCACGATCAGATCAGATGGTAGGGTCGGAGCCCTACTCATCACCAACCTTTGATCATGGAGGAGATGCCATCCGATGAGCTTCCGGAGCGTACTCAGCACCCGATACGGAGATGGTGAATTGGATCAAGTCGGCCTCCGATGTTACAAAGAAGGGAGATGTAGATGAGTATGCGCACCTCGTGTGGTCCCGGTGTCTAGGCCTCTTTTTTTTTAATTTCATGTTGTATTCGCTGTCTAGGCCTCGTGTGGCGGGGGCTGCAAGTTTTTTAGATTTTTTCCTGCGCACACAGTTTCCATTGCTTCCATTTTTTTTTTTGGATGGAAGGTTCCGTGGAAAAATGGCCGAGTTCCATGGGTAAATACTGAGCTGAATGGCTATTCATCACAGGCAATGTATCAATGATCTTTCGGGTAACAAAAGAGGCAAGGAGCACTGTACAAGGTATGGCCTGGGTCTAAGAGGAGCTCAACATGCTAGATTTTCCATGATTCAAGTAGTACAATAAACATATCTCTCTCCCTTGGGCTAGGTAATTCTAAAATACGCATAAACAATGTACTTGAGATTCTTAGCAGCGATTGGCTAAGATAAACGAGATTAGACGCGGTCATGATCTTGTTTTTAAAGGATGCTTGCTTCATTTGCACGAGTGATAGGCTATTTCGTGCAGCCTAGAACTAGATACAATATTTGACAGCTTGAATTATTTGCACTTAAAAATAATTCAACAGATAGATACCATAGACTACTTCCAGAGATACTCTTCGTGCTGAGAGAACTTTGATAAGCCTACCGTATAAATCGTAAAGATAAAACGGGTAGGCCCAAGCGTCTAAGTTGGCATCCGGACCCCTAACGTCGACCATGTCCAAATTTGTTGGGATTCACCGACCTAGTAGATTGGGCAATAAGTAATTCAATGCAACTTCATTCCTGATCATCTACTTCAGCCACATCAGATATCCAATCTGCAAATGACGAGTCTGATACCCTAATTTTGAGCTTGTCATGCTGCCGATGTAAACTAAATACTCTAGCTATCAACAGTACACTTTACTTTTCTCCCTTTCAACAGCCTTCGTCCACATCCCCAGATTAATACATTTATTCTATCCTTTTATTCTCAACTCATTCAGATTACTAGACTGAGGTTAGTCCTCCCATACGTAAGTCTATATTTTATGAATCTTAAGTTTTCTCGCTCACAAAAACTACCAAATAGTCTACAATGGTCAACACTATTTATTTCTCGAGACCTTCAAACGATCTCCTTCAATTTCCCCCGAGTGACTTTCCCAGCACTTTACCACCACCTCTATCTGGATCAGCGCCCTTTACCCCTCCAATTGATATTCCGGCCGATATCTACAATGCTGCTTTAGACATCAAAATTCCTATAACAATTGCTATCATTTATGCCTTTTCTGCATTAATTTTGAACGCATATAATCATAAATGTGGAAATAAACCATGGAATATATCAAAAACTAGAACTTTCTCTACATTTGTGTTTCTTCACAATATTTTACTTGCCGTCTACTCAGGCTGGACCTTTTTGGGAATGTGGGGAACTATGCAAAGATCAGTACCCATCCCTAGCGACGGGAGCAACCTTGTTCATACCGTTGATGCGCTGTGCAAAATTCATGGCTCTCGTGGTCTCGGAGAATCTATTAGATTTGACCATTTTACGTCACTATGGTCTCCTACCTCAACTCAGGGTAGCATTCCAGATCTAGGTACAATGGGTCGCATATGGAATGAGGGCTTGTCATTTTACGGCTGGCTATTCTATTTATCCAAATTCTACGAAGTCCTCGACACATTTATTATTATAGCCAAGGGTAAGCAGAGCGGCATCCTTCAGACTTATCACCATACTGGTGCCATGTTTTCAATGTGGGCCGGAATTCGATATATGAGCCCTCCAATCTGGATGTTCGTCTTCGTTAACAGTGCTATCCACACTATAATGGTGAGTTAGGTCAGCTTTTTGGCGCCATTTTCTAACATGATTTTAGTATACATACTATACCATTACAGGAATTGGTATCAAAGTACCCCGAGTACTTAAGCAGGGTATCACGACACTGCAGATCACACAATTTCTAGTGGGATCTTCATTTGCTGCAATTCATCTGTTCATTTCATATGAAATCCCGGTCCAAGTATCTATTACCGAGTCATTCATCGAGGATTTACCCAAATCAATTGTAGAGCAACCCGAACAAGCCTCCACGTTTTTGATGTCTATTTCTAGAGGGGTAAAAAATATGTTGGTCGCATCGCTGGGGCGCTTAAGCGTGCCGCCCCAACCTAGCGAAGTTCTGCCAAAGATACCAGAGGAGGTTAAATTTCGGACTGAATATCAAAATGTCCCATGTTTAGATACAACCGGGCAGGCTTTTGCAATCTGTCTTAACATAATATACTTAACGCCTCTAACCATACTATTTGTTAAGTTTTTTATTCACTCTTACCTGCGACAGCCAACCTGCAACAAAATTCCAGCTGTTGAAGATCTCAAAATCTCTAGTACCAATAGTAAAACTTCACCAGGAGAAAAGAGTGAGTAATCTCATAGCTAAACCAACGACCTTAATCGGGCTGTCATAAATTCAAGTATCATCACTAGGTCTTAAGAAAAGTCTGAACCGGTCAATGAATATTAATACAATACTCTCGATAGTTTTACTCATCTTACACACTTTTGATTGAAAGCCAAGGGACACATAAATCCAACAAAATCCCCAAAGATGTTTAGCCTTTATCTCTCCAATTCATTCTAGAACCTATGCTGAGGCGTTGTGCTGTCATTGTTTTGTTAAATATTTTCTGCGATATTTCTTTCATTTTTTCAACGATAAACGCCGTCAAATTTTTGCACTTTTTAAGCAATGGGATATTGAAAGGAAAATATCAGCAAAAAAAGTACCTCATAAACTCTGTAAACTCTTATTTCAAAATTAATTTAATTTCTGTGACTTGATTTCACTAAGTTGGTCCGGACACATAAATATTTAAAACCATGTTACTACAGATGGGGAACTAGGACTTATAAAACCCCAGTCCCGATAAACGTGCCTTATGAATCGAGGCATTCATTCTGGTAGTGCATTTACCCCATAAATTATGTCTAGATGTCATTCTTTTTTTTTGTTCATTGACGTGCGAGGTTACATGACTACCGTTGCACTTCCTCTGGAGCTTAAGCACGAGTGGGGTCGGGCCGACTCAGGTTAACTACCGTAAAGTACAGATGTACCTCGTCCCACTTTAATGACCGGACCATCTCAGACTTCACCTATGTGTTGAATCTTACCAATTCTCACCCTCCGGAAACCCGCTGTCAACCCGCCGTAGCGCAATTTCCTCCACAGCCTCGGCCACCACGCGCCCGAGCCCTTGACATCCTCATTGACCCTGAAATATAGATGTAGTCTCAGGTCTCATCGTTGCTCTAGCCTTGCACTCTCAAATATTACTGCTGGATTTGTTCGTTATTGGGGATTTGTGTAATCCCCTCGGTGGATGTTCCTTTTTCTTCCGCCTTTGTACACGTCCCGTTGACATCATGACTTTCCTCATTAGGGCGTGTGTAGGTAGGTGATCGGACGAGTATGGAAGTGGGTTGCAGATATGGGATCGACTAAGAGATTCTTTGTTGGAAATATAAAAGGAGTTTGAGAGATGTCGGATGTTTGAATACGACCCCAGATAGACCAAAATTCATTTGTGAATTGTATATTGGTAGTGATGAGTTTTTGTTCAACTTTGTTCCGGCTGTGAAATCTCTGCCGACTGATTTTTCGACCAAGATATCGAGTGCAACTCCTTCAAGTCGAAAATCCATTAAATAAAATTCATCTCACCCTTTTTCGTGACTGAATCTCGGCTCTGGGAGAATATTTCACTCCCAGGTTTGTAGAGGGCACTACTGACAGGTGTTCAGCCTTCTTCCTCCGTGTAGATCTCATTCGAATTCTTGTTTGTATTTCGTGCATCAGATTCTAATTGTGTGTGTAGCTATCTAGCTACGATGTCATATTAGAGATGAAGTACACTGAAAGTTGTTGGTATGATAAAGCTCATACACTTCAAGTCTTCAGTTCAGCCAAAATTATGGGAATACTCTTGTTAGTAGTTCGAACTATGGTGCAGGCCAAATGGGTAAACATGGTTCATTCATAATCTATTTCCTTGATCCCATGGAATTGCTATCCATCTTACATCAGGATAAAGCAATTTAGTGAATGTCCGAATCCACAAATCAATAGAATTACTATGGAAATAATGAATCCTCAGTCATTGAGGTTGTAGAGCGCGTTGCTCCACATAGTGACCGAAGAGAAATTAAATACAGAATTTGTAGTCACGTGTGTAACAACAACGTGGCATACTTGATAGCTCCAATAATTCTATATCCTAACAAGAATACATATTATTTTGTTTTCTATCCTATGCAGTTCCTACAAACTGGTGATGAGCAAGGATGGCCATATTATGCGCAGAAAAAGCTTCTTGTATTAAATCCCATATTTCCGCCACTAGCACATACTCCGGATTTATGTCGAGAACGTCTGTCTATCCTTCTAATATACATGTGTTAGGCAGAATACACTATGAATTAAAATAAATAAATAAATAAAGAAAGAAAGAAAGAAAGAAAGAAAGAAAGAAAGAAAGAAAGAAAGAAAGAAAGAAAGAAAGAAAGAAAGAAAGAAAGAAAGAAATAAAGAAAGAAATAAAGAAAGAAATAAAGAAATAAATAAATAAATAAATAAATAAATAAATAAATAAATAAATAAATAAATAAATAAATAAATAAATAAATAAATAAATAAATAAATAAATAAATAAATAAATAAATAAATAAATAAATAAATAAATAAATAAATAAATAAATAAATAAATAAATAAATAAATAAATAAGAAAAAACATCATCATTTGGTCAAAAGCGGCACAACGTTCCACGAACGTTATTTCATCGTTTCGTTAATTGCTACCATCTTAATCGTACCTTATTATCCGATTACCCGATTTTTTCGAACTGCGCTTCGGCATGGTGGATTGGGGAACCAGAAATGTGGTTTTCACTGCAGGAAAAATTTTCACGGCACCACCAAAACCCCCAACGGACAGCGGAACAGCCGCAATTATGGCTGTAGATTCTCTCGCGACATCTACAGGCATTAACATGGATAGTTTAAAATCAATAGGGCTTTTTCTAAACAAGGTTCGCGATAGACTGGTCATAGCTGGTACTAACCCAACAGCGACACCGATGGCGGAGGTAGATGGGGCTATTGACGCCCTCAAGTCGCACGCATTGTCACTACAATCGACAATGAAAGCGACACCAATGGAAGAAAGGATGCTGGCCTTAGAGAAGGCAGTAACGAAGAGTCTCGAGGAGCCAGTGCGCAAGATGGCTCCTCCGTCGACACAAGGAATGGGAGGGCGACCAACGTACGCCTCGGTCGTTGCACCTCCCGCAACTAAAGCGGCAGTAAGAATACGAGTTCAAGGGGCAGAAAAAATGCAGCCGGCAGAGCTGCTTAATAAAGCAAAAATACATATCGAGGGAGCATATGCCGTAAGGCAGTTGCGGAGTAACGATACTGAGGTGTTCGTGCAGTCGATCTCACAGCGAGACGCTGCCCTGAATATGGCTCAGCCAAAGGAGTTCTGCGTTTTGAAGCAGGATTATCCTGTTGAAATTTTGGGAGTCCCATTGGGGACAATGATACATGGAGGGAAAAATGCCGACAACGGCAGAATGATATACCAAATCACTACGGAGACAAATGTTCGGATTCCTGGAATCCAAATTAACAGGTTAAGATGGCTCTACGACGGGAAGGAGCACCAATGGATGAGGAAAAATGGCCATACTCGAGGGTCGGTGATCGCTAGCCTGCCGACAGAGGCTCTTCAACGCGAGGTGATTCGAAACGGCATTGTACTCAATTCAATGCTGTACACGGCCCAGCTCTGGTCACCCCGGGCTCAAGTTAAGCAGTGCTTTAACTGCAGTCAATGGGGGCATACTCAAGCCTCGTGCAATAGGGCGAAAAGATGTGGTGAGTGCGCGGGCACTCACCAGACTAGAGACTGCCCGAGGAAGTCGGTGCTTTGCTGCAACTGCGGAAAAGCCCATAAATCGTGGCAGAAGGGGGCGTGTCCAAACTTCGCGTCCTACAAGGTTAGTGTCCAGAGGGCACGGTATGGACTTTTGGAAAGAACGGCAGATCTAAGAAGGGAGGAAATAACAGCAGCGGCCACTACAATATCACCAGCGGCAAAACAAGTAGACAACCAAGGGTTTACACTGGTGTCCAGCCAGAAGGCAGAGGTCGGAAAGAGAGGGCCAGGGCGCCCGCGGAAAAATCCCGTGGCCACAGCCCCACCTACACACCAATTTGCGCCATCGGGGTCGAACTCAAGACCACAGTCATCACTTTTCGGCACGCGAGGGCTGGGAAAGGATGGCGAGGTCACCTATAACTTTAGCTAGTCTTGTCTCGGACTAACGGCACATTGCGCTTCCTGTAGGTAAACGAAGTACTACAGTAATAATTTGAAGGAGAAGGGGGTTTTTATCGGAAGGTTTCCCCCTCATGTAAAATATCTATAAATAGAGTTTATAGCCACCTGCATGGGCCCATAGGGCGCCAAATCAGGGTAATGAAATCAAATTCAAATTCAAATAAATAAATAAATAAATAAATAAATAAATAAATAAATAAATAAATAAATAAATAAATAAATAAATAAATAAATAAATAAATAAATAAATAAATAAATAAATAAATAAATAAATAAATAAATAAATAAATAAATAAATAAATAAATAAATAAATAAATAAATAAATAAATAAATAAATAAATAAATAAATAAATAAATAAATAAATAAATAAATAAATAAATAAATAAATAAATAAATAAATAAATAAATAAATAAATAAATAAATAAATAAATAAATACATGTGTTAGACATTGAGGGTCAAATGAAAAATGTAAAGTAAAATTATATTGGTGAAATCTCTGCTCCTCAACTCCTCTCCGGCCTTGATGCTATATACCCATCCGAAACTATTTCTGGGAGAGCATATCTTCTCCTAGTTTCCCAAAATTTTATATGGAATATATTACATGTGTTGAAGATCAAATGATCTCAAGTTGGAGCTTTGAACATCCTATCTATCCTGAACATCTTGAACACCCTGATCACCATGTCCCTGGCAAGATAAAGCTCGAGTAAGATAATCTGTGAAGATGTGTCATCCCAGTATCCAATGATTCTCATTACTATATCCAGTATTTTCCAAGCTATCAGATGTTTGCAAACATGTAATTAACCCCTACCTCCGGAAACTTCCTAGCGAAAGATTTAATGTGTCTGGAAAAGAACGTGCATGAAATGGTTCAGTTTTCCGACTTGGTCGTATCGTTGTTATAATTTCCGTTGGGGCTAGGACTACTTTCCTCGGTTATCCTGTTGTTATATAGATCGATAGATGTTTATTTGTGAGGGGCACAAGCCGATTACTCTAAGAGCGTGACACGGAGA